GGATTTAAATGGCAAGTGTAGTGGTAGAAATTGTCAAGTAATTTTCTTTTAAGGAAAGATTAATATGTCACGGTTTCAATACATTAAATTATTTATATTTAAGAAATATTGGAAGGACATGCATGTATTTCTTTAGAAATATTTTCCCAAAGAAAAAAAATATATTTTGCACTGCCCGGGAATCGAACCCGGGTCGCAAGAATGGGAATCCTGCATGATACCACTACACCAACAGTGCTACTTGCAAAGTGTAGATTACTTTAGTGAAGATAAGCTCACGAAATTCCAAGTATTTTTATACTGTTATATTTAGAAATACTCAAAATACAAAATAATTATATAAACATTAGCAATAACCTTTCATCGTTTTATACGAAGAATCCTTGCTCAAGTTTCTATATACTGTATTGTATATGTAAGTATGTATAAAATCTGATGTAGTAAAGTACTACATATATGCAGTTGCATAAAATTTTCATTAAATACCGTTGAAATGAAAATGCATATTTTAGCGCTTGAATTTTTACGATCTTCTTATAATATAGATAAATCTTAAAATATGTAAGAATTTTTGAAAAAATACAAAATTAGAAAATACAAAAACAATCAGAAATACAATGATCAGAAGTGGAACACAACTATGCTCTCGCTTATACAGCAGCGCATATTTAATATTGATTCTACTGTATGTCAGAGAATTGTACAGTATAATATTGAATTTATTAATTCTTATTTTTATGATATATTAAAATTTTAATGTATATAAAATTTAAAATAAATAATCTTTCCTCGCATTAAATTTTGATTTTGATTACACAGAAATTTGATTATGCGAACAATATATGTCATTTTTATTTCTACTGTACCTCAAAATTGATCCCAATTTTATTTCATTCGATTTCATTTTTTATAACACATTTTCCTTCAATTGTAAGCGATGTCATTCGTTAAATTTGCATAATTTTCCACTTTCCTGCTCATCGTGGCAATTTAACTGGGGGAAACGCGATGATCGCTTGTACGTTCGTTTCCACTTGCTCGCCACTTTTAGCGTGTTTCTAAAAACACGTAATCTCACTGTTAACCACAATATCATCCGCAAGCCACCAGTTTTGTATTCCTCCGCGAGAAAGTATTTTATTTCATGAAATGCATAAAATAATAAGTCCGAGCATTATCTTTCTGTCAAAAGCGCTCGTCTGTTAGATCTTATTATAGAAATGTTGCAGACAGATTTTTTCTTGAACATGTAGAGTACTAAAGAAGGTTGTATTTAAGGACAAAATAAAAAACCATAATTCTCTGATTCAGTATCTCACAATTCACAATATTTTCAGTTTTTATTTTTCAAGTGATTCTGTTAACCACTCAATGATTCACACAGTACAAAAGCTATATTTAAAAACGAAACTTCCAATTCTTTAAAATTTTCTTTCTTCAGTTTTCGAGTAGTTCTATTATCCACTCTATGATTCACACAGAATAAAAGCTAAATTTATAAATAAAATGGAAATGGTAACTTTTAGTATACGTAGATCCCGAGTTTCTCAAACTTGTCTCTAGTTGACTTCCAAATGGCACTATTACCTATTCGACGATTCACATAGAACTCTCTTTCTTGCTGACATCATAAATCTACTTTAATTTACGCGCCTCAATCGCCACAGATACACCAGCATAAACAATTCAATTCTCATTCCTTCAATCCTCTGTCGTTCCTCATTTACACGAATTTTTGTTTCCACCAATATAATCATGGCAATCGTGCTTCATTACAGTATTAATGAAATATCAAAATATTTTATATGCTATAAAATATTATACGCTTTCTATATAATAAGTGTTTAAATATCTTCATAAGTCACTGTATGTATCAAAAATATCTATCTTTATCTAAAGTATTTTAACAGAAAGCAACATATCGTAAAAAGCGTAAATTATTATTTTTAGTCGCATATCGAGAAAAAAGTGGAAATAATGGTACAATCGGTACGGCCCTGATGAGACGCTTGTTTCTCCACGGGACACTTCACTCTGTTTCTCGCCCCATCGGTTTTGCAACGCCGGCACTGGCGGCCGCAATAAATTTTGATCACTTTCATACCATAATTGCATTACACGCAACTGGTTTACAGTTATGCCTTACGACTTGCTTGTTATATATATTCTCGCAGAACGTACCACTGTTTATTATGCAATCGATGAAGCATCGAATGGAGCGCCTCGTATTCGCGAGAAATATTTTCTTCGCGATGGAGCTTTACTGACATATACACCGTGGGTTTAAATTCTTGTTACAAGCGAAGTCAAGGAAATTTTACAGCTCAAGATAAGACGAAAACCAAAAATAACAAGATTGCGTTGTAGACTTCATTTTTAAGAAAATCGAAATTGAAGGTTTGCCAAGTAGTTATATGTGGATTTGCTTACTTCCAAAATAGATCGAAATGAATGATCGACAGGAAATTATCCTTTGTGTGGAAATAAGTGCAACATATCGAATAAATTTTTCTTTTATTTTCTCGTGTTTCCTTAAATTTAAGCCCACGGTATACACATATTTTAGTCTATCCGCAACTGTCTGACAGAATAGGCGACAGAAATAAACAGCATTGTAGTTGCGAAGTCGACGACCGGAAGTCGACTACGGTTTTTCTTATCAAGATATAACGTCGGAGGGAAAACGGTAGAGGAAAAAACAATGGACATGAGAGGAAAGGAAATTTCATTCTTAGAGACTGTCTTTCTATCTAAAAATATATAAAATTAACCATTGTAGAATTAGGTAATATGATGTGATTCTTTATTAAACAAAAAATGAATAAAATTGATCGTTGAAGAATAAAATTAGTCATCATACATACGTGTAAATGTCTATTATTAATATGATGAATCAAAAGTCGGATATCCTATTAGATTTTAGAAAGAATAATAAAAATAGGTCGAGTTCAATCCGATTTAGGCTGTCGAGCAGCTGTATGGTCTCTTTGAAAATGAACCAGTTAATCGTTCGTTCGCCTTTCATTGTCGCTTTTACCACGATTAGCGACTAGCTTAACTTAGTGCCGAGACTACCATGAAAGGAACCTTTCTTCTTTCAAGCATTTCTCTTTTAACAATGGGAGAACAAAGGGATATGTCGTGAAAAGGGTATCTAAGTGCATATGTTATCTGAAAGTTCCAGAAAACCATATGGAACGCAGGCGCAAAGCAACAAGTATGTACATATGAACTCGGAATCTTTGAAAACAAATTAACTTGAGTTTCACGAGAAAATCTCACTCTGATAATAACCAATAATTAAACAAAATTAAATACGTCATGTAGTATATACTCTTTGACTTATGTTAAATAGCAAATTGGTGAAATATCACATCCAATAAGATCTTTGTTTAATAATGTAAGAAGTGCAGTTTAGAGGTGTTTTTGAACTTAAAATTATACAATTCGACTATACTACGCTGCTACTATTGCCAAAATGTTCTAATGTACTCAATACGGTCTGATATTCGCTAGGGTCCGTTGCGAAAACGCAAGGGCCTTGTTGCCAGATCAATAAAGGAAAATTCCTCCGTTCTCCCTTTCCCGTTATTTTAAACTTTTGTACATAGTATGTAGAATATTCCAACCTGGTGTATCCTTTCCAGTTATATACTATATCCAGATATATACGGAACCCATATATATATACACTAATATACACTATTATATATACACTATACAGAATATATATATATATATATATATATATATATATATATATATATATATATATATATATATATATATATATATATATATATATATATATATATATATATATATATATATATATATATATATATATATATATATATATATATATATATATATATATATATATATATATATATATATATATATATATATATATATATATATATATATATATATATATATATATATATATATATATATATATATATATATATATATATATATATATATATATATATATATATATATATATATATATATATATATATATATATATATATATATATATATATATATATATATATATATATATATATATATATATATATATATATATATATATATATATATATATATATATATATATATATATATATATATATATATATATATATATATATATATATATATATATATATAATACAGAATATATATATATATATATATATATATATATATATATATATTAATCCATCTTGTATTGACAACAAGCATTATAAAATTTTAAAGTTTTACGAAGAAACGCAAAATATGAATACAATGAAGTAGAATAAATGGAAATTTCAGTGATACTCTTTCGAAAGATCCTGTTGAAAGGTTTTAGACAAGGTTTACTGAATTTGCCACTAATAGTGATCATCCCTAATTAACAACATTCACTGAATCGTTCTGGAAATTTATTGCGGATGGAAACTCAGCGAGGAAATATACAATCATGGAATAAAATAATGAACTGTTTTAGCAATTACAATCAAATGTTCATGTATCCAATCAATGTTCAATGTACCGTACCACAGGTCCTTTCATTAAAAATTTGGAAGTTGCTGAAACTTTGCAATCGCAGAATAATGTTACAACAAATGTTGATGGCCACGATCGAACGATCCATCGCCACTTCCCCTACATGTTTTTTATCGTGTACTGCGTGTACATTCAGATAGTTGGTGCAGATTGGTGGGGACGTGTGTGAGTTAGAAAGTCGTAAGTGCCTTTCAGAGGCTGTAGCCAGTACAGTCTTGGTTGCTCAGTGAAATCGGAGCAGTCGTCGATCGAGGTACGCTCGTTACTGTATACCGTATACACTTACGCGATCTTTTCATTCACCAGAATGAGAATTCCGGCTTCCAGACCTCGTTTCTATACGACGCGTTCGATTTCTATCAAAATGTCTCCCTAGGAAGCACTGTTATTTGCGAACTAGCTCGATATATCTCAAACGAGCAAAGACGCTCGCGCAAACATTTCTTTAGTCGCGACGATACGTTTAAAAGCTAGAATTCACGGCCTTGTAAGTATGCTTTCTCTTTTAAAAATAGTTGTGTGTAATTTCGCGATTTGAACGATCGACGAGCGACTTTGTGCGATTAAGGAAAATTATCTTGAAAAACTGACCGATTTCTCGTCGCAATCCATGTAAATTTCGATACCAAATTGGAGACAATTTAAAATAGGATATTCTTGTCTGTTTAAGCGATCGATCCTTAATTGCGATTGACACAACCATCGATATAAAATTAAAGTTAGTTTGAAAAAATAAGATAAACCATATTAGTGATCTGAAAATTCCTAATTACGACCTACGTGTATACGTACTTACTATAATTTTTGTTTCTAAAATCAATACTATGCACATATTTTATTTCCATATTCACACGCATCCATCAGAATATACATTTGTAGAAAAATTTGAGATTTACATATAACCTTCGGTGCGATAATAAATTCCAAAATAAGGTATCGTATATATTACATAATACTTGTAACATATTTTTGCTGCTACTATACTGCCAGTTTAGAAAATAGACTGTTACCGAAAAAATAAACTGAAGCGGACGTTTTAATAAATTGTATATCAAAACGATGAATAATACAAATATTTTCAACGAGCCATTAATTACTTCTAAGTGCAATCTTTCTGAACTACAAGAAGTAGGTTCTAATCATGTTAAAATGAAGATAAATAAGATAATAAATAATAGATAAATAATAGAATTGAATCTTTTATGGAAATTGTGCCAAAAAAAGTTGTTGGCTTATTATATTTGAAAAAATAGTCATTCGTTTGAACGTTGAAAATTGTGCAAATTGCACGTCAAGCATAAAAGATGGAGGCGAACTTACAAGCGACAAGTGGGAATTGCGCAACGCTTGCAAAGTTTCATTTACATAAGCGTGCAAGTAATATCAACTAAACTCAATCTAACAAATTTTTTCCTTATTTCAACTCGCTCTTTGTTAAGTCTAAGCTGGCATAATAATCTTCTTCGTTGCGCAAACGAAAAAAGAAAGAAAGCGGTGCCTCATAGGGCGTTCGAAAGTGGCGCGTTAATCAAGTGTCACGTGATAGGTAGTTGATTAATATTGGAGATCCGTCATGGTCGATCGCGTGTGACAAAAATCGTCAAAGGTGTTTACGACTTCGCAAAGGTTACTGTAAAATCTTATACCAAACGCTATAAAACAAGGGAACGTAAAAATAATTTAAAAATTATTGAGACATTAAAACTATTAAAGTGTTGAATATGTGCGTGACACCATGAAATGTTTGATTTGTGTAAAATGTGTTGCTTCGACGCGGAAACGTTTAGACTGACAAATTATTGAAAATATGCGATAAAATCCATGATTCAGCACGAAGTTACTAAAACTATTCGAGAAAAAAAGATGTTGCATGGGTAATAAACATGGTGGGAGATAAACAGAGACGTCGAAGTGTGAGCGAAATGCTCGATTGGCGATGTGTCGTCAGGAATAAAGGGGACGATATGGACGATACATGCATGAACGTGCCCTTCCTCGAGGACTACGACAAGGATACGAAAATGCGTCGCAGGAAACGTTCCGGTACTTGGCCGTGAGTAAATTACTTTACGACCCTTTGAAAGATTGGAATGGAAAAGTAATTCCTTCTTGGGCTGCTATAATTTAATGAAAAATGATAAATACGCGAGAATGGTAAATTTGATAAAATATTGATAAATATGAGACTTAGTTTTAGGGTAAAATTTGTATAGTGGTAGTGAACTAGTTGAACAATTGATTGATTGAAAATAATTTAATTACAATTAACCGATTAAAGTATATAAAATAGTAAATTAGGGTCTGCTTAAAATTCGAAATTTTCCTGTATAATAGTATGTAATCCGGTATGGTCTAGTGGCTAGGATACCTGGCTCTCACCCAGGAGGCTCGGGTTCGATTCCCGGTACCGGAAATTTAATTTTATTTTTGGCTATTTAATATTTTAATCTTAGGTTTATGTAAAAGGCAAATTTTAAACTATGAAGAATTAAATTAATTAGAATAATTTTTTGTTATATATAATTATGTATATGAAGCGAGCGTGAATTTTGTTGGAAAGGAAATGAAAAGTAAACCGAATGGTATAGCGCGACTATCACGAAACCTGTACATATACAGCTGTTCAATTTCGTAATTAAACTGGGACCTCGCGTAATCCGATTCCAATTCGTGCGAAACTTGAGCGAAGTTTGCTTGCTCAACATTCTTGTTAGTCAGGGACAACTTCATCGCGACGCCCGTGCAAACTGACAATTTGTCTGGCGTATAAACTATACATATTGTCGAATAATCGATGAGTATGGTCTGGGAAAAGTGAAAAAGTATTAAATAACAATTACAGATACATTTACGGTTACTGTGTAATGTCATAAATTTTCAAGAAAAGAAATTGTAATGTATTTATCATAAATTGAAAATAGAAATCAGATTACATTAACATAAATTGATTAAAAAAAATTGTGAATGACATTCATAATTTATGTTAATGCAAATTTGGCTGTTAACGAAGTAATACGTATAATATAATATAACTGATTTAATACTCCATTCGATTATCTTTTCTGCTTCGTTTTTGTTAACTTCACATTGTCACTTTCATACTCTAAATTGCGTAAAAGTAGTTAAATAAAATCATCAGAACATAAGCGTATATCCGGTACGCAATTGATTGGTCCACAGTGTTAGAGCATGCGTGGCGTACGTCAGGCGTCGCGACGCCAGCGTCGACCCGCCCGTAGCGTCAACGAGCTTCGTCTATTTATTAACTTTTATTTAACAATGAAACGTGCCTGCATCAATTCAAACCCTTTTCTCTGATATCTGAACATATTCTGTGTGCATCATTGAGAACCTCGACGAAACAGGGCGTCTGTTTTGTAAATCGGTCAACATGGACGACGCAGAATTGAGGTAGGACTGGAGGTAGGTGTTGGTTAACCTAAATCTCGCGCAGGGACATGTGCTCGTGCCGATATCAAACACTGTTCGCTTTTTCCAATCTGTCGTTTATGTAACAGCGGCTTGTGATGCAGGCGTGATATCGTTTAACGATTAATTAACAAAAATAGCCAACACAGAAATTATAGAACTACAACGGTGCTTAATTTCGTCGTTGATAAGACCACAAAAACAGGGGATTAAAGTTAAAGGCGATCAAAAAGTTGTGATTTAATTGGTATATACTTATCTGTATATACTGTTATCGTTTATGTAAATAAGAATTGAACTGTAGTGACCCATGCATATTTTTAAAAGACGTTCTACGAACTCAAACGTTGTTGTTCCACTGTCTATATCCAAAGGAACGGGACTATTTGTCCTAGGTTATGTCGCATGGCAACGAAATAGACCGTTCCAAGTAGAAGGATGACGTTGAGGCCGGCGGAGGTAGACATCATTAAGGGGGCACGCATTGCACCTCGTTTCGCACACGTGTACAAAAAGGTCGGAGTACCTGTTGGAATCGGCATAGTGGGAGTGTTTTCTGTTGCTCCTTTCTTTTGTGAGCGAGAACGCGTTCACGTTTTGCGAGGTAGATTCCATTTTTCGCAGCTTGTAGGTCGGTCACCGATGGCCCTATGGGCTACCGTAAGCCTTTATACGCCAATAGCGGCCCCGTTTACAATCGTCGCGTTCGGAATTTCAGAAATTCACGTTCGATGCAATCGATTACCGAACCGGACGTAGCCGTGAGCCGATCGTTTTCTCCTTTAACAGATCAGAGTCGAAGAGAGAGCCGACAACAGGTTGGGAAAGAAAATCGATCATGGTGTTTTGCAAGCTTTCCATGCACGGCAATCTGGGCCAAGCCACGATTAGGGATACGTGATCGTTGTTGGCGAACAAAAGGGCTCTTTCTCTTTCTTTCTCTTCTTCCTTCGTTTCTCATCCAGCGTGTTCATTTTTCTTCAGGGTTCTCTTTCTCTCTTCGAGTTTCTCAATCAATTGAGAGAAAGTTGTATGTCGAATAGTTGGACCGAGTGAAACCGAGAGGAAAAAGTTACCTAATGATGTCCGAAAGATCCTTGTAATAATTTGTAAAGATTGCTTCTCATTTTACTATTTTTTTCTTCGATTTCTAAATAATTCGGGTTCTAATGGTTCGAGTATCTGTCGTCATTTGAGATCAATGACACAGTACTACGATCTATACGTTTATACAGAAGCGTACTATCGAAGATTCGTTGCAAGATAAGATAATATAATACGATATAATTGGATATTATTACGTAACGTTAGTGTTAGTGTCGACAAGAACCATGAAGTTTACGGTATACCGACGGTTCCGTGGAAAGAATCCCATAATTGTTGGCTACCTCCGATCTGATCGTCATTCTGCGTGCAGCCACCTTGGGATTCGGTCCTTTCTAAAAAGTTACTGCCTTCGAGAGAAATGTTCGCTGATACATAATGCTACGTTTGTGACTAATATCATTTCCCTTGGTTCTGGACGGTGACAGTGATGTGAAAATTTGATCGTGTTTGTGGAACAGTGAATTTCTTCGAGATCTCTCGATAATAAGAGAGAGACGCCGATTCTATACCATATAGAATCATTGGCGTACATCGATTGACAAGATTGAAATAAATAATGCACGAAAGATGGTTATTGATGGTTCGCTTTTTTGAATAGGATTTTCCAACATGAGTTCGGAGTTAATAAATTAAAATCTTTTATCGTCGCCGATAAATAATTCGTACATTGCTGATTTAATTATTAAAATTCATCGAAAAAGAGATAGGTCGTGAAACTTGTTGCGAATTCTCAACTAATTGGCGATCGTCAGGTGCAACTGATCGGTTGATATCGTGAATCTTGAACGAGATTAACGTTCAAGGTGGAAGTAGAGATACGGAGTAGTAGTATGTTTAGTTTATTTATTTTCACTCTTTAGTATATACGAAGAAAATCACTGGCAAGTTAAGATGCAGAATAATGTTTTGTTTAGCTAATTTAGTTGCACTGTTGACTAACACAAAGAGCATGACGCTCTGATGAGAAGACTGTTGTAAGACTTCCATAAGGAGCTTCGTCTGGTCCTTACAGACTAACTCTCTGCCCCCTGGTTTTCCTTCGTACTATCGTTTCTATGGGAAGGAAATCTATTCTTTCAAATCTTGTAATTGTGTATTCTCGTAGGCACATATCCTCTGGTTTTGTTGTTTGTTTACTTTAGACCAGACTCATCATGACATAAAGTTAGTTTGGGTTAGGTTGGGGTTATGCTTATTACTCTCTTTAATGAGGTCATCATCGTAAAATTTATAACCATAAATCACATCAAAAGTAGGAAATTCGGACTTTCCCAAAAAGGAAAGATGTATCGTCCGAGTCAGAAACGAACGGCGACTTCAAATTCCGAATAAAATCCTTTAAAACCGTTCGACTAATTTATTCAACGTACACATAATTTTGCCAGTGCTATACTGTAAATATTAAGCAAATTAGTGAAAAAGGATATGACGAGAGAGGCTCGATGCAAAGAAAGAACGCGCCCTTGAGAGTAAATCTTACTACTTCTTGGTAACTCGCTTAGGGGACATCGCATTAATTTCACATTAGTCGACCTTCGGATTTTAATGACTGCATAGTTCCGCAAAACAAAGACGATTTTGCAACGTTTCAAGAATCTTCGTGTTTCCAGGCGAATGATATCCTACCGTTGCGACTAAGCTTTTACTAAAGTTTTTGCGTTGACTCTATCATGAAGAAAAATTGCTGCTATTAGCGGTTACTCGAGCCGTATCGAATGATATATCTATTTCATCAATTGATATAACTGTTGTACGCCAACTACATATTTAGGGGAACAACAGAGTGGAACACTTCTAATCCAACTGAATATTTAAACATTATATTCTGCTCTGAATAACGTTATATGTGTATATGTATATCGATGTTAAGAATAAGGAATAAGCTAGAAGATAAGTTAAATGGACTTTTTTATGTAAGATCTGAGAAAGGAATTAAATTTAACGTAGAACTGATTAATTCGATAAAAGTCTTACAAAATGGCAGACCAAGTCTCACCTTTACTGGATATTCAGTGCAATGACCATTTTCATTTTAATTGCGATATGCTTGATCGTCTCAGAAACGGATCGATCACCTCGTCGGCAGACAATATTCCACGGAGCAGAGTGCTCAGGTAGACATTGTTTTTTCTTCGAAGATTTATAATCATGTGTCACAGTTATGAGCGTTATGAATTAGCAATTCTACTAAGTTTCTGCGTAAAGCAATTACCGTCCAATTTCTTTATTATGTATATATATTACGTCGAATTGAAAAAAGAAACAAAATATTCATGTACTCGAATATTGCATTTTAATATTTTCACATATATATGTATATTGTATATGTCTATTTGCCAGCTTCTAATACATTGGCCGCTCAGTTTTCAAAGGACTCATCAGTTTTTAGTTTTTAATGATATTATATAACTAACAATTTAATCTCATTCTATATGTCATCGATTAGTTATCATTTTTTTCATCGCTACTTCTAGCTATTTCAATTATCATTTATCAAGTCATTCATGCAAATGTATCTTTTTCATGCGATGTTTATTATTAATTCTCTATCTTGACGTCAGTGCCCGTTTGTTACTCCGTCAAAGATTTCATTAATAACAAAATTATAAGATAATTAAAATACAAGTTTCTTTTCTCGTTTTACAGCGATAATAATAACTTTGTTATTTCTTACGGAAAGTGGAAAACAGATAGATTAGATAAGAATGATAAAATGTTTGTAACTGTCATAACGATGACCTTAATTGTTTATTCACTTGTTTTTTTTTATTTGCAGGAGAACTAGAAGTCTAAATGCACCTAGTCCCATACAACAATTTGGGCCATGCGGGCGCATCATGAAAAATTCAGCAATGATCATGTGAGTACATATATAAATTTCGAAAATATGTATTAGATCATTCCATAAATAATATGATATACATATGTAACTTTAAAATGTAAAAATTTTGTCAATTTTATCGAGGAATAATATTATTTATTTTCTGACGCTATGCTCTACCTTTCTAAGCTTTCTTACACAATTGAACTGATACTGTTATCGGTTCAATATTAACGCAATTTGACGCAAGTTACAAATTATCGGTGTTGATAGATTGTTTTGCATAACAGCGCGTAAATTCTACGCGCCAATTTTACAGATCACAATTTGTTTAATTGTCTAAAATAGTAAAATTGTTCGGTAGAAATCCACAATCTGCAACTTGTCATTTATCGATCCATTAACATGTTGAATGTCATGCCAGTTTTGCAAGGTTTGACCGAGTTACCACGATGAATTTTTTATTATGCGATATATATAATGCTGAAATATTACCCCCCCCCCCC